CTTCTGACTTGGCATCGAAGTACTGTGTTCCCTTCACAACGACAAGGTGGGCAGGAAGGTTGACACCCCAAGCAAGAGTACTGGTAGCCACTAATATCTGGATCTTATTAAAAGTGAAAAGCTCCTCAACCAGTTGTCGATCTGACTCGATAAGACCGGCATGATGAAGGCCAATACCAAACTGGAGAGCTTCCTTTAAACTATCATCCTTTGTCCTTGTGAGTACTGTTTGCAGATCCTCATCACTAATGCCCAAGAACTGACGCGGATTATCTTCTATCCCACAAAATGCGATCAGGTCTTTTGCGGTGAGTCTGGTCTGCCGACGTGAGGCAACAAATATAATTACTGGTTTTTTGGGCGAGTGAGTTTTGATGGCTAGATATGCAGGCCTGTTCATAGACTGCATCAATGGGCAGAATCCCTGTTGCTCTGCGAATCCGTCGATGTAGATCTCCAGCGGCACCGGGCGAACCGAATGCCTAAAGTTAAACAATCCTTCCTTAACACCCAACCAATTTCCTAAATCCGACGCATTTGCACAAGCCGTCGACATGCCCATCAACCTAACCGAATTGTCCGTCTGACTCGCAATATAATTCATACGAGACACAATAATCTCCAAAATAGGTCCTCGATCACCACCTAATAGATGAATCTCATCAATAATCACTAAAGAAACTTTCCTTACGTAACTTCTCGTCTGCCAGCTTCTCGAGATACCATCCCACTTCTCAGGGGTGGTAATGATGATATCAGCATCCCGGATAGTTCGTGTATCAGGTGTATTATCACCAGTCAACTCTACAAGCTTCAGCCCCATTGGCCCCGTAAGCCGCGCCGACCAATCTTTGACACGCTCACGGACAAGCGCCTTCATAGGCGCAATATAAACGACCTTTGAGCCAGGCTTCTCGCGGAAAGCCCACCACATTGCAAGCTCGCAAGCAATTGTTTTTCCACTACCAGTAGGGGATCCTAACAGTACATTCGAGTTTGTGTGGTAGAGACAGTGGAATATCTGCGTCTGCATTGGGTTAAAGTACTGAAACCTTGAGCCGTAGATATTTTGGAGTTTTTTATTCTTTAATGCAGTAATTGGGAGCGGCTGGAGGTTCAATAAAGGCGTGTAGACAGCCTCTGTATCCGGTCTGATCAGATGCTGGAATGAAATCGGCTCTACCGACTCGGCGCCCAGCCATCGATCCGACACTGCCCTAACATAGATCTGTGACGGTAGCGGATCAGATAAAGGAATTGTAAAATTAAGCTCATGATCATCGTGTAATTTCCTTTTAGTCAGGATGAAGAACTCAGAATGATATATCTCTGCTGTCTCCGAGTGCTCAACCCATATCCAGTACGGCTCAGACGTGCCATGGTATCTGTCATTCCATCTAAAATCTGGAGATATATAAAGCTTAATCCTTAAAACATCTCGGTTTAACGGTGCGATCTCAGCTTCGATGTTGATGGTTGGGAAGTTATCGAGTAAGTTGGCAATTCGGGGCCCATAGCCCTGATTATGGACTAATTGGCCAATTTCTGAAGGACTCATGTCACGTAAACTCTCGATTGAACTCTCTCTCGCGTCTAGTTTATCAATGATAGGTCTCGGAAGATCAAACTGTGAAAGTGGACTTTGGAACGACCACATTCTAACGTAACGTTAGTAGAGTCATCAGTCACAGAATATCACTCGGACTTACTTCTTCTCGATAGATTTACACAATGATAACATAACCTGGCATAGGTTCCCCCATCGCCTGTTTAACGCGATCTTGAAAACTGCCCTGCAAATTCTTGCTGCGTTTTGCGCAACATATGCCGAATCCGATACCAGTGCGAAATCCTCAAAGGTCGCTCTCGAGATATGTGACTGAAGTAGGATGTTCGTCTTCTCAGCCGCAGTAAATGGAACATCTTTATCCGGATGGTCTTTATCACTCTGCCTTTTCTCAACTTTGACCTGGCACGGACAATAGTTATCACGTAGCCTCTTGAGCTCCATGAGCTCACTCTCCCGGAACTGTATGTTGTCGAACTCGGCAGAACGTGAAATCATGTTAAACACATCCGCCTCTGACGCATTGGGTTTCATGAGCTGGTTGAACAATTCGATCGAGTTGTTGAGAATATAAAAGTTACTTGCGATTCTCCCTACATCTTTTGGTGCGAGCGACTCTGTGCGCTCGTCGTAGATTATCATCTGTGTTTGCTGGAGCCGCCTTGCGGCTTTGATGATATGTTCTCTTCGCTTTGCATTCAATGCAGGGTCATCTGCGAGCTCCTCCCACCCAATTCCATAATGGAGGGGGTTCTTCTTCCACCGCACAAAGAGATAGGAGTCTCCGAGCCATTGCACCGCTTCATGAACTGTTGTGACGGTCCCTAGTGCGATCTCGGCATTAAGATTATCAACCATTTTCTCTGCGAGGCGGGATTCGATTGGATGCTGTTGGGTCACGGCGGAAAGATAATGGGCTAATTTATCGTGAGTTGTGACAATGAATCCCACACCCACCTGCTGGAACTGAGGTCTTCCAGCACGTCCAAAGATTTGGAGAACATCGAGGATTCCAAGATCCATAAACGCTCCCTTGGCAGAGTTATAAACCTGTGTTCCCTTGATTACTACTGCGGCAGCGGGCAGATTGACTCCCCAGGCGAGGGTAGCAGTACAGCAGAGGACCTTGAGAAGGCCATCGCCAAACATACGTTCAGTAAGGTTTCGATCAGACCTGAGCATCCCAGCGTGGTGGACACCAAAGCCGTTTTTAAATAGCTCGCGGAGCTCCCTGCCTTTAGAGCGCTCCATCTCTCTACTAGCCTGGTCATACCGCTCGTGACCAGTGTTATCAAGGAGGTCTGCACAGCCATCATCTAGGGCGTACTGGTAGAATAACCTTGCGGTCTTGATGGTGTCCTTTCTACTGTGGACAAATACCATGACCTGGTGGTCTTCTTTGAGCATTTCTTTAACCTTCTCCCAGGCTGTTTTGTCGATGTTGTCCATTGAGGCACGGCTTCCAGGCTTTCCTTTGACGCCGAGGAAGTGCTGCTCTAGAGGCACAGGACGGAAGGATGCATCGAAGTAGAACAATCCAGCCATGAGGTTGACTTTGAGAAAGTTTGCGACATCTACAAAGTTTGGCAGAGTGGCGGATAATCCCACAATGCGGATCATGCTCTGTGTGGTTTCCACCTGGCGTTGAGTACGTGCTACTAAACTCTCAATTACAGCACCACGATCGTCGTGAAGCATATGGACTTCATCAATGATCAATAATCTCACTTTTTGGACCAGCTCTGTGTCACCAGTGGATTTACGTGTCACGACATCCCACTTCTCAGGAGTGGTGACGATTATCTGGGTCCTCATGATTTCAGCCTTGGTTAACTGCATATCTCCTGTAAGCTCGCGGACTTCAATTTTCAGCCATGCTAAATGCGAGGAGAACTTCTCAACGATCTCAGCAGCAAGGGCTTTCATGGGAGCGACGTAAACAATTTTGAATTCATCCTTGAGCGGGTAGAAGTGTGCCGCATCAGGCTCGTCTCGTGGAGATGGAACACAATTGGTGCTGATAGTATGGAGAATTGTCAAAAGCGCAGCATTGGTTTTACCCTTACATGGTTAGAACACAAACACCAAAGATGACAGATTATGGAGAAACCTACAGCACCAGTAGGCGCACAAACAAGCATATTCTCATTCGTTTTGTAAGCCACTGGATATAGCAAGCTTTGCATTCTGTTAAGCTGCTTGTACCCCTTGAACGTGTTTCTACACAGCGCATCCATCTCCTCAATCTTGACAAGCTTCTCTCCGGCCTTTACATGGCCAACTTTCGCTGCCGGGATTGTAATCTCCTCATAATCCTTCTCTTCATTTCTTGTGCTCCCCATTGGAAGACTGTACTTCTTCCCAAATGCATTCAAGCTATTCCCTGCACTATGCGCACGGTATACATGCGGGTAGTTCATTGTCGGATCCGCAAGCTTGGGTCCAAGCGGCTGGGACTTATGTTCCAGATCTGCCGCACGGAGCGCCTCCTCACGCTGCTCCCTCGTCATAAGCCGAAGGAGTGCATCCTCCCCACCTCCTTCGGGTTGTGAAGTTGCCGCCACAATTTCCCCACGATGGGAGATCAGCGCCATGATGAATTCGAAGTCGTCATAACCTAGCATATCTGCGAGGGAAGATTGCAATGCGTCATCTATGCGGGGTGTCAGTATTGCCAAATCGATCATTGACACAGTGTAGATAGGTACTCACCGGCTCTTGGACCAGAGAGGAGGGACGAAAGGTTGTTTTCAAGTTCAGTTGGGTTAAGGGCATAGCTAGGGTGATACCTGCAGTAAGTGGCGCATTTTCGGGAGAGCCAGTTGGGTGTTATGGTGTCTGGATCTGCGTCGTCGCTGGAGTAGTAATATTCGTCCGGAACGTCGCTATCATAGGGGTCGTCTGAGTCGGCTGTAGCAGAGAGCTCTTCATCACTGATTTCAAGGTCTTTTCCGTACTCATCGGCGGTGGTGAGGGGTGGGAGCTTGGAGAGTGCTTGTTCCATGAGGGCAAGCTGGGTGTGCCATGCCGTAGGGTCCGTGTCTGCGCCGTCCATTACGCGTGCTGTTGAGTTGTGAGTGTAGTAGACTTCGAGAATGATAATAGAGTTTGGGTATATCCTAAAGTGAAATATGGAGCCCACAAATCCGCGATAATGAAACAGTGGCACTAGTAACTAGAAGTGAGGTTGTGGTGGGGTTCGTATACCCTGGTACACCATTGGACGCCTAGCCTGCGCACAGGCCATACCGCATCTAAAACAATTTTTGAGCCTCAGAAAACCCCCACCACATCGTTGACACATCTGCGCCTTCGTACTGCCTAGGGAATCCCCACACTCACCAAACTGCTATTCACCTCCTTAAGACAGCGGACGCCTCGAAGGCTCTACGTTCCGACTCTACGCTGTCTTCGACTCTTTCATACAGACATAATGGGTGGTAAACGCGATCTTCCCTCAAAGCCGGTGCCGCAAAGCTCAAAGGACATCACACTCGACGATGGAAAAGCCTACACAGCGGTTACGGAGGGTTTGGCAACTGTATTGTTCCCTAAAATTACGGTGAAGAAGGACAAAGCAGGCAATGACGTTGAGGTCAAAGGGGAGGTGTTTTACAACCCGATCCAGCAGTTCAATCGGGATTTAAGTGTTTTGACAATTAAGGCATTTGGGGACATGTTTTTGGAGGAGAAAAAGGAAAAGAAAGAGCAGAAGCTGGCGAATAAAGCAAAAGGAAAAGAGACAAAGGGTAAAGAAACGAAAGACAGAGGGTCCGCAAAGAAGGTGACGAAGAATGAAGTGGAGACCATGGCCGAAGCAGCAAATCCGGGGGTGGTCAAAATCGAAGATCTAGAGGAAGTCGGGGACATAAAAATCGAAGATCTAGAGGAAGTCGGGGACATAAAAGCCGAAATATCAGAGGAAAAGACAAATGACGATACCGAAAAAACACCAGCGGTGCCTGCTACAGAGCTAATGGACACTGAAGACGTTCCCCCGCAGTCAATGGATGCCCCAGATCTGTCTTCACGGCCAAAGGAGACAATTACAGCCCCAATATACACACCTATGCCCCCTAAATTCACTATTCTTGATGCATTATCAGCTACAGGGCTCCGCGCCCTCCGATATGCTCTTGAGATCCCTGCGGCAACTGCAATCACTGCCAATGACCTCGAGCCCTCCGCTGTGGCCTCAATCACAGCCAACATACTCCACAATTCCAAAAACCCAGCACCTCATCCCGATACCTTCGAACCCTCCGCAGCGATGTCTAAGATCTCTGTATCCCTTTCGGATGCAACCCATCATATGTACTCCCGCCTCTATATTGCCTCTCCCCCGCCTCTTCCGGGTGCGCCAAACACTCCCGTCCCCCAATATCTTAAATACGCAGTAGGCAAGTACGAAGTCATCGACCTCGATCCTTTCGGTACCGCATCTCCTTTCATCGACGCTGCAGTACAGGCAGTCAGTGATGGTGGTCTCCTCGCAGTAACCTGCACCGACGCGGGCGTATGGGCCTCCGCTGGATACTCCGAGAAATGCTTCTCTCTGTACGGTGGCACCCCAGTTAAGGGAGAATGGTGCCATGAAGCAGGGGTAAGGCTAATTCTTAACTCCATTGCGATGGCGGCGGCAAGATATGGATACTGGATGGAGCCACTTCTATCCTTAAGCATTGATTTCTATGCGAGGGTATTTGTGCGTATCAGGAAGGGTCCAGAAATGGTGAAACGTCTAGCAAGTAATAGCATGGTAGTATACAACTGCGACTCTGGATGCGGATCATGGGTCGTCCAAAGACTCGGTAGATCCAAAGAAGAGAAGAATAAGTCCGGAACCGGCACTTTCATGAAATTCGGCCTCGCCCGTGCTCCTACAACAGACTCCAATTGTGCAGAATGCGGCTTCCCTATGCACCTTGGAGGCCCTATGTACGCTGGCCCCCTTCACTCTGCTGCCTTTATCAAACGTCTTCTCGTCTCACTACCATCCACACCCTCTTCAATCTATGGTACCCTACCTCGTATCACGGGAATGCTCCAAACAGCTCTTCAGGAGTCCACGCCCGCTCTAGCAGCTTCTCCGTTTTTCTTTGCGACTACTCGCCTTGCAAAGACACTCCACTGCATAGCACCACCTTTGGCTGCATTCCGCGGGGCCCTTAAAGGGCTCGGATATGAGGTCTCGCGCAGCCACTGTAAGCCAACTAGCATTAAGACGAATGCGCCATGGAATGTGATCTGGGAAGTAATGAGGCGTTGGGTCGAGAAGAAGCCCGTCAAAATTGAGGCGGTTGGTGATAAGCACGCGGCGTATAAGATCCTGAGGCTTGGTCGAGCTGAGGGTGATGAGGGAACCGAAGAAGAGAAGAAATTGAAGGAATTAAAAGTGGTTTTTGACGAGAAACTTGGAGCTGATGAGGATAAAGCGTCGAGGCTGGTCAGATACCAGGTTAACCCAACCGCACATTGGGGCCCTATGGCCAAGGCCAAGAAAGAGGATATGTCAAAGAGAGTGATGGAAGATGGTGAGGGCGAAGAAGTAGAGGGGAAAAGGGTGAGGAGGAGTGAGGCAAACGCTTAGTGATCTTGTACAAATAGGGAGTTTAGGGTTCGATATCATGTAAATAGCAAAATGTACTAGCAATATTTAGTGAGCAATCTATTAGCGAGGTCAATGAATCAATTCATTTCTCAAGTTTCCTGCTTGGGCTAGACCGTGAAACACCTCTGCCTACGCAATCAATTTTTAGCCCAGTCAAAAACAAATCGACACATTTTGAACCAGAAGGTCTTATGATCTCAAAATACATATAACTGCTGTACTAACGTCCTATGTGGTTGTTTAATTCATTCTAGCCTTATCTCCGAGAAAATTGTTAGATAATTAGGTAGGCCTAGAAGCAATAGCCCGAAGTTATAATTCCTTTAAAAATTGTAATCAGCTTCGATGCCTCGAGGACTCTGCAGATATTCCCATTTAGACCCAGCATTCTTATAAGTTTTATGTTAAAGTACACATTGAAGAATGTGTTTTCTCGTCTTGCATTACCTGGCGAAATACGTATCAGCTACATGTCGATAAGTTTTGTCTACAAGTGATAAGCACTGAGGGTGATTCGAGGTCCCCTACCCGCAACTTATTTTATGAGTAGGATGTTGCACATGTGCATGTGCCCAAAGTACTAACCCCAGCGATTAGTAGTAGCAATTAGTAGCAATTAGTAACCCCCCGGCCAGTCACCATCCCCCATTACCCCATTACAAAGAACCAACACACCGATCATTTCCGCCAAGAACAGCTGACCAACTCTAAATCTTGGCTATAACCGAGCCAATCACAACTCATCCGTTTCAAAGCAAGCATCTGATGTCAGCGGCTTAGAGCAGTGTGAGAACAGCTATATAAACAGCATCAGTGGTTTCTCGAGAATTCAGTAAATTATTCTTCACCAAGTTCTATTACTCCACTATCCTACGAGATCAATTTCACTATTTCTCTTCTACGAGAAATAATTATCCCCACGAAAACCGCAAAACTTCTTAAATTTCAAAGTTAAAATGGTCCACCCACCAACCTGCTGCAAGAGCTCAGGCGAGCCCTGCACCTGCGCTGCACAAGCAAAGTGCTCTTGTGGACAGAAGGAAGCCTTGAACTGCAATTGTGAGAAGGCTTCGACCGAGAACCGCATTGTTGGTGCCAGATGTTCTTGCCGTGAGTCTTCCCTTCCGGAGCTAATTAAGTAGCTATAGTTAGTTGGAACAGGAGCTGATTGATATTGGATATTATAGGGATGAGACCGGCAAAGGAGTGCAACTGTGAGCGCTCAGCAGAGGAGAACGACGTAACCGGCGATGCATGTGCATGCGGATTGAGGAAGGCAGACTCCTGTAAGTTTCGAATTTCTCTTTGACATTGCTACTAGTAAAGGTTGGTGATAATAATGCTTTTGTAGGCACTTGTGAGAAGAATCCATCAGCGGGTTTGAGGGATGGGGAGATTGATTTTACCACCACCAAATAGACTGTTATTTGGCTGATAGGTCATGGTTCTCGGTGTACTGGTTTTTAGTGCTTTCCTATGGGGGTTCTTTTTTCTCGTCTTTTTTTTTTAAAGTACTTAGCTGTGAATATGGATGCTACAAGTATTAATGAAGCTAAAGTAAACAATGTCACATGCAGCATTTCCTGTTCCATGGTTTGAAGTGAGCACGTGAGAGCGGAAACGGCGCGTCAAGAGGACATAATGCGGTATGTAAATACATCTTGTACCTACAGCCCTAGGATTGTAGAGTAGCATACTAGAGCTAATTAAAAGATTGAACTAAGCATCGTAACCACTTTCTTCTGTCATGACCATATCTCAACTCGCTCTGAGTGCTCAGGACTCGAGATTACAGTATGCTATCTTCTGAAAAATTGATTGAGCTAGCTATTGCCAGTACTTATAAAAAAAAACCTTAGTAATTCTTGTCTAAATTATAATTACCTATCTGTTTAATTCTAGAGATGGACTGGCAGCGAAAGTTGGAATTCATAACATTGCCTGATATTGAGTCCTGATATTAATCGCTCGTGCCTCGTTACCTGCTGATGTATGTAACGTTGAACTGGTTGAAATAGAGCTAGCGAATAAAACCCCGTACGCCCAATCCTAGTCTTTCCCAGGCAGGGATGCCATTCTCGGTTACCCTCCTCCACATACCACACCTCGCACACTCCTTTTGGTGTCTCGATTCCGGCGCTCGCTCCATCTCCCGTCTGCCGGCATCGTCAAGGTCGGCTTCGACCTCACCTCATCATCATCGACACTCTTAGCCAGACCAGCAAAATCTAAAGGTATCTAAAAACGGGATAGGAATCCACGGAGAACACCCCAAGGAACCAACGAACGAACTCTCGGAGCTCTCACAACTACCTAGTCTCGTATAACTTCAACTCCTTTTCCACGAACGACATCTTCAAATCGCCAATTCGTAGCTAACTCCGACTTACAGCTCTATCTCGGAAACAGAAAAGGCTCGAGGCCGAATTAAAGATGTCGTCCATGCGTGGTAGGATTTCCCATACACATGCTTGTTTAGAGGGAGAGGGTAGTTAGCTAAGAAGCGCACCAGGATTGGTTCAGTTTATTGCGGATTTGAGAAATGCGAGAGCGAGAGAATTGGAGGAAAAGAGAATAAATAAGGAGCTTGCAAATATACGGTCAGTTCCCGTGTGTCCAGTTCGGTCTAATTCACCCCCACCTCGAATCTGATCAGCGAAGCCTATGAATCCTCCCCCTACCTCTGCAATATTCCCTCTCCCCTCTCTTCCTCTCCCCACAATTCATGTGCTGATCCTATTCAAGACAAAAGTTCAAAGGCAGGCAGGCATATATGCAATTGATTTAATTGGCTATGCCGGAATTATTTACGAAGACTAACACTTTCCTCAAAAAAGATGGCAACCTAAATGGGTACCACAAGAAAAAATATGTTTGCAAAGTATGTAACCCCGACTCTTCTCCTAGGTCTTAACCTAACGCCGCCGCCGCGCACAGCTTCTTTATATCTACATCCTTGGCTGGAACGTCGACTTTGGCCACCTCGAAGCCGTCAACCTCATTTCCGCCACAAAATACTCCGAAAAACAAATAGGTTATCTCGCTGTAACGCTCTTCCTCAACGAAAAACACGACTTTCTCCACCTCGTCGTCAACTCCATCAAAAAGGATCTTCTCGACCATAACGAACTTAACAATTGTCTCGCGCTACACGCAATTGCAAATGTCGGCGGACGGGAAATGGGCGAGGCCCTTAGTCCTGATGTGCACCGGCTGTTGATCTCGCCAGCATCCAAGTCGTTCGTGAAGAAGAAGGCGGCATTGACGTTGTTGAGGTTGTACAGGAAGTACCCAGGAATCATCCAAAATGAGTGGGCGGAGAGAATAATCTCACTCATGGATGATCCAGACTTGGGGGTAGCACTATCGGTCACTTCATTAGTCATGGCGCTAGTACAAGATAATCCGGAGGCATTTAAGGGAAGTTATATCAAGGCTGCTCACAGACTTAAGAGGGTAGTTGTGGACAATGAGTACACGCAAGATTACATCTATTATAAGGTTCCATGCCCATGGATCCAAGTCAAACTTCTACGGCTCCTGCAATATTATCCACCCTCTGGTAACTCTATTACCCCCACCCCCTAAAAACCCTATAATATACTCAATTCTAACACGCCCATCCACCAGAGGACGTAAATGTTCAAAACATGATTCGTGAGTCCCTCCAGCGCATTCTGGATTCAGCTTCCGACGCACCTAAAAATGTACAACAAAACAATGCCCAAAATGCAGTTCTTTTTGAGGCCATCAATCTCGCAATTCATCTCGACTCCGAAACTGGGTTAATGACTCAAATCGCTGTTCGACTTGGCCGTTTCATTGTTTCTAAAGAAACAAACGTCCGCTACCTCGGCCTAGAGGCAATGACACATTTAGCAGCTCGCTCTGAAACACTCGAACCGATTAAGAAGCATCAAGCAACTATTATAGCTTCGCTTCGTGACCGTGATATTTCTGTCAGGAGGAAAGCGCTGGATTTATTGTATAGCATGTGTGACACGACCAACGCACAACAGATCGTTACCGAGCTGTTGAAATATCTCCAAAGTGCAGACTTTGCAATTAGGGAGGAGATGGTCTTGAAAATTGCGATCTTGACAGAGAAATATGCGACTGAGTTTCAGTGGTATGTGGATATATCACTGCGCCTCATCAGTATGGCGGGTGATCATGTCAGCGACGAGGTGTGGCAGCGTGTGATCCAGATTGTCACGAACAACGAAGAGCTACAGGTTTATGCTGCGCAAAACATATTACAGCATGTTAAGGGGATGCAATGCCACGAGACATTGGTGAAAATAGGAGGATACTTACTAGGAGAATTTGGGCATCTGATTGCAGATATGCAGGGGTGTAGCCCCATTGAGCAGTTCATGGCTCTTCAGTCCAAATTCAATGGATGTTCCTCCGCGACAAGAGCGATACTGCTAAGCTCATACGTCAAATTTGTGAATCTATTTCCTGAGATTAAACCGCAGTTGCTACAGGTATTTCATGTATACTCGCACACACTCGATCCCGAGCTGCAACAGCGGGCATGTGAATATCTCGCCCTCACATCTCTTCCAACTGACGATCTTCTCCGAACTGTTTGTGACGAAATGCCACCATTTCCCGAACGCACCTCAGCACTTCTTTCAAGGCTGCACCAGAAACATGCAGGCACGAGTGATAAACGAACATGGGTTATTGGTGGTAAAGACGCAAATACAGATAAGGAATTTCAGCTCACGCTCAATACGGGTCTGAAACGTTCTTTTACCAACGCTGGGAATGGTACACCCACTACTGCAAAAAGCGCAGGGCTTGATAGTATACCTGCCCTTACACCCACACAGGAGCTTGCTGGGTTGAACTTAAACGGTGACAGCACCACTGCCGCAAAGAAGGAGACGCTAAACCTCGCATCTCCAACGCATCTTAGCCCTGACTGGAGCATTGGTTACAACCGCCTCCTAATCCGCTCAGAGGGTGTCCTCTATGAGGACGTTCAAATCCAAATCGGTCTCAGGAGCGAATACAGAGGCCACATGGGTTGCATCATCCTCTACTATACCAACAAGTCTCCTGTTGCCATTGGTTCTTTCACCACCACTGTCAATAACAATGCCCCAGGGCAGCTGTCTTTGAAGTGTCAAAATATACCGGACACTATAGTGCAGCCTGAAGGCCAAACACAGCAAACTATTATGCTCGAAGCAACTACTCTATTCAGCGAAGCACCAACTATTAGGATCTCCTACCTTGCCGGTGCGCTCCAGGGACTAACGCTTAAGTTGCCGGTGGTGCCGAGTAAGTTTATGGAGCCAGCAGCACTGAGTGGTGAAGATTTCTTCAAACGGTGGAAGCAAATTGGGGGCGCGCCGAGAGAGGCACAGAAGGTATTTGGAATTAGTGTCAAGGGCAATGTGATTGATGTTGCTAGGACGAAGAAGGTGGTAGAGGGCTTCAAGTGGGGGGTTATGGATGGCGTAGATCCAAATGCAAAGAACGTGGTGGGCGCAAGTGTGCTGCATACCGCCGGTGGGAAGTTTGGATGTTTGTTAAGGCTAGAACCAAATTTAGAAACGAAGGTATGTGTATTGCTCCCTCGTTAGTTTAAGTTCGGTGAAGACTAACCGGAGGATGTATGGATGTAGATGTATAGGATCACAATTAGGGCAACAGACGAGAAAGCCCCACCAATGCTATTGAAAATCATGGAAGAACGACTTGCACTGGCGTCACCGCCATCAGATTTTGGAAAAAGATAAAGCCTACTTGTGTCTGCTGGAAATAGAGAAGGAGTTGGGGTGGAGATTGTAATCATCGCTGCACAGTTTTATCGTATATAATACCATATTATTTTCTTTCTTTTCAAAACGTATATTTGTGAATGGGCAGTGGGGACGGTAAATAGATAACTAGTTGACTTTGTGGATATGGATATGGTTATGGAGGTTTGATCATTAGTCTTGAGTGTGCGCATATTTGTATCTTGTGATTCCACTTGCATGTAGGATTTCCGGAGATAACTTGGACCTCATAGCCGCAGGAGAGAAATTTCTATATGTTAGTCGGTTGTAGATAAATTAACTACGAAAGCCAAAAATCTCTTTTTGTAAAAACCCCCCCAAGGAAATCGAATCGAGTGATAATCTATGAATAAAGAAATTTCACCCCTCCTAGGCCTGGCTTAGTCTTTTGTAAGATCGATTGTTTAGATGAATATGTTTATTTGCTCTTGTTATTGTATTCTGAGTAATATAGTCACTCAAATTTCAAACAATCTGAATGAAATTGATGGAGGTTATATATGACATTTCTGAGCAACAGAAAACAAATACCTTTTCCATATTTGAGTCTTATACACTAGCAAAGAACCTATAAAAGAATAAACATACGCGATGATCCGAGGCTTAAGTTTGGATATCGAGTGAGATTCTGTGATTAAACTGGGACTGCCGTGATCAAAGTTTATTCTAACCTCTCTTGCTTGGCCATGGTCTTGGTGATCTTTATGGCTTTTTGTTAAAAGTAGGACTAGTCTTAGAGTTTTTTCAATTGATATCGATGTCTAAGGCTAATACAAGCTATCTTATAAGAACCCGGACAGGACCCATTCCTCTTGACAGCGGGTCCTTTACTGTTCGACACCTGCTCGACACCTGTTCGACACCGTGACCTTACTACCTTGAACGACACATATCAACACTTTTATTGCTGTATTAATGCCTGGATATCACTTCAACATACGTATATTTGTTCCGGTATAGTTAGCATGCGTAGAGTAAAATATCCAAGTACATATCTCGATACTCGAAAGCCCTCTGTTGCTGAGGCGCCGATGATGCCATAGATCGATATGATATGGCCTATTTTACATCCTTTTTAAGTTTCCCAATACTTAATAGTGCAATGCCTTGTCAAGCTACATAGAATTTATTTCTATGGAATCTAACGAGAGTAATGGTGATGTGTATCTAGTTTGTGCTCCCGGATATTCTGATAGTATTATCTGTGAATTTATACGCCCCTAAAACAACTCCAAAGCCCACGCTGCAAAGTCAAATGTTAGCAGTTGTATAGATACTAATGTAGTACAATTCATGAATTATCAATCAATTAATACTAATGTAGTACGGATTAGTAACAGAAACCCTGGAGTGATAATCTATGATCCAAGCCCCGATTCTCGCAAGGCTCCCAAGAAAGGAAGAGCCGCTGACGTAAAGCCGAGATATAATCCAGGGATTTAAACAAACCCCACTGTTAAGCCCGACTCAACAAACATACATACCAGTAATTAGGTTCCTCAATCCCATTCCAAATGTCCTCATCTACACCCGTCATTCTACTCACCGGCGCCTCTCGTGGTGTCGGCCTCGCAATTGCACAGCACCTCCTCAAACACTCCGCACGCCTGTTCCTCGTCGCTCGGACTGCCGCTCCTCTCGAAGCCCTTAAGGCGGAATTCCCTAGCCAGGTCGACTACCTTTCTGGTGATCTCGCCGATACCTCCGTCTGCAGAGCTGCTGTAGTGCAGGCTGTAGCAACATATGGCAGGCTTGATGGTGTGGTTGTGAACCACGGAGTGCTAGAGCCTGTTGCGAGGATTGCTGATGCGGATATTGATGCGTGGAAGGCTGCCTTTGACGTGGGTTTCTTTGGGGTTGTTGCCTTGGTTAAAGAGGCGATCCCTGAGTTGAGGAAGTCAAATGGCAGAGTAGTCTTTGTGAGTAGTGGAGCGGCAGTGACGGGGTATGAGGGGTGGGGCGCGTATGGGTCAAGCAAGGCCGCGTTAAACCATTTGGCAATTACCCTGGCGTCAGAAGAGAAGGAGATTACGAGCGTTTCTGTCAGGCCGGGAGTTATTGGTTGGTTCTTTCTTGCTACTGTTTTCTTGGACTGCGTATTGATGATTGCGGTGCAGATACACAAATGCAACAAGAGATCAGGGAGAAGCATGCGGCCGCAATGGGAGGAACCTATGACAGGTTCATGAAGTTGAAAGAGACTGGAAAACTGTTGCGGCCTGATCAGCCTGGGAATGTCATCGCGAAGTTGGCATTGAAGGCTCCTAAAGATCTTTCAGGACAATTCTTAAAGTACGGGCTTCTTTCTCTTCCTTTTTGTTAGTGGGATTAGATTGCTAATTTTGACATAGTTGGAATGCGGAGCAGCTGGCAGACTTTCAAGAATAAACTACATGTAGTCACAGAAGAAAGTTCAATGGACAGTGGATTTAGTTATGAGTATTGTAGATATATTGCAATTTATATTATATGCTATTACTACTATTTATGTATCCTGTTACATACTTCGTACTGTTAGTAATTCCATGCTGAGGCATCAAAGCCGACAAATTATTATATCCTAAAAGATCTGCCAAATTGTATTAGCACTAGCCCCATCAAACCTCAGCAGAAGACAAATCGTGCAAGAAAATGGGATATTGAGTCTCAAAAGTCAGCCGAAAGATGAAAAGTCGTAATTTTTTTCATTCATAGGCACCTCAAGGGCCCCTCCGAATTAGCATGGAGTTTTTGTTCATCATTTGAGCTCCATACCCATGCCGCGATCCAAAAAGAAGAAAAAGAGAGTGTTCTTACCATTTTCGTTGTTAGTAGTCGCGGAGACTGAGCAGTGAAGACAATGCATTCGTTGTTCTTCATATCTGTAGCAGATGAATCTGTTAGTAAGTTTTCAACAATGCTACGCAGTGTATGGGGAGAAGTTTGAGTTGGGAAGTTTGATTCAGGTAATCGAACCTTGTTACAGCATGTGTAGCTCAGAAGGATTTTTTTTCAATAGTGCATTTAAACTAGCTCATCATTCAAACGAAGAAGGGACGAAGCCAGGCAAGTGTACTATGAAAGAAAAAGAAAGAAAAAATACCATTCAGTTTACTGCCTACAGAATTGCCGCAAATCCAGGGACGGGGCGATCTAGTGAGCGAGACTCAATTGATGCTATGCAAGAATAAAGGATCTATTTTGACAGTTAGCGCCAATTCAAACTGCAAAATTTGGGACGATGCAAAAAGAGAATGTGAGGGGTAAAGATCAGATCAAGTCCGTTTGGCTAGGACAGTGTAGGTCACCATGGATAGGAGGAGTTAATTCCCAATAAGATAGGGGCGACACGAATGGTTCATCATTTCGAGTGGAATACTCGTAGGGGAACTGGGGTAGGTAAAAACAGAAGAAAGAAAAGGAAGAAAAACTTACAGATTGTATCCATCTCCTCCTCCTACATGCTGATGGAGATCTCCTTCATGCACATGGGAGGGAGGAGGCCGTTGCAGCGCAATGGCTGTTCTTGTTGCTGTTCTTGTTTTGTCGTTTTCGTTGTCGTCTTTGTAGTTTGGTGGTGTTTGGTGGTGTTTCTTGTGGAGGACACGGGCGAGGAAATTTTTTTGGGGCTTTTAAGTAGCTTCCTCTACCCGCCAAGGACCCACAAACCCATTGTCCGTCGGCCAAAACGAGGTTGCCCACCCCATCCCACTGTCCCGCATTGCGGCTCAACTGCAACTGCAACCACCAACTGCACCTCCGTCATTTTGCCGCCCCAAGTCACCAACGATCAATCGACCCTCCCCCAAAAAGCAGAATGCCGACCTTCACCTCAAAGAAGTACCTCCCCGCCTCCGCCGCAAATACTGTTGGCTCCAAATATCGTGAGCATCTCCGTTCTCCTTCCGCTATTACTCTAGAGGAAGAAAAAAAAAAAAGCTAACTATGGTTACGCTACAGGCTCCGGTTTAAGCCGGCACCCATTTCTCCTGTTCGGATTGCCGTTTATTGGTACCATACTCGCAGGATCCTTCTTTCTGACGCCTGCCACGGCACTGCGATACGAGAATCATGATCGTAAGGTCAAGAGGGTAACACAAGAAGAAGCGATGGGGCTAGGGAAGGACCGGAGAAGGGTTGATTTGAATGAGGAATATTATGTAAGTTGATGTTCTAAGAAGGGGTAGTTGAGGAGAGATTGCTAATAATGGCGTGATGCGAACAGAGGTTATCAATGAAGGATACCGACAACTGGGAGCAGAAGAGAGTGAAAAGACTCAAAGGAGAACACGATGGCGTGTTGTAAGGCACGAGGCCTCCGATGTATAAGGGGTTGGTTAATGGTTAAAATGGCGTTTCGGGAATGGTGTTTTACAATTGTGAATATTAACATTGATACAACATATCATAAACAGCAACAATTGATAATCATACGATGACAGGTGAAATGTAGAATGCTTTACTTTCATTCATCTTCAAAATACCTAACCCACCATTCATCTAAAAAACGCTCTTTGGAGTATAGAACATATTCGACCTATCTGCCATACGAAAGAAATGATAAAGATATTCCCGCTAGTAAAATAAATTGTGACAAATGAACAGAGAGGAGGTGGGGGGCAATACGCACAGTTGATAATAACAAAAGAAATAGATAAAAAATATAACAACACACCGTTTACGCATGCCCCCGGGTCAGCATCAAAAAATAGATGGATGAAAGATGGTATTTGGGATAAGGGTAGAAACTTCTATGCAATCGCACACATGCTTATGCAAAAAATACGAAGATGAATGGAAGAAATTAGTTGAACGCTGGAAAGCGTAGAAAAGAGAAATAAATAAATAAAACGAACACCATAACAAGCTATTCCACTTTCTTTTGTAGTCCTTATTTTAATAGGGCTTCTCGCCGTAGAATGCCTTGTTCCCAACTCCCAGAACCATTAATTCAGAATGCGGCGCATATGAGCTAAAAT